AATTTTGACTTAAAAAAAAATTACTTCTTAGAAAATCAATTGTCTGAATGTCATATATGGCACAGGTAAAAAATATTTCCTTTTTTTTCGATTTATTAATAATTCATTTAAACAATATTTTTTTGCATAACAAAAATTATTATTGTTATTCATGAAAATTATTTATTTCATTTAAAGTTAAAAATTTTTGTTTCTTAATTAATAAAAATTTGAATATAATTCCCCGCCGACACAAATATAATACTTCTTTAGACACAAATGTAATACTGCGACACCCTGTATATCGACCTTATTCATGATGTAATTCAATTATGAAAAAAATATGTTTCTGCGATACAAAATTGCCATTTTTATTTGCATCTGAGTACTAAATTTTATTTGCAATAATTACAATTCACAAAAACAAATAAATTGTTAACTAAATTATTTGAGCTAAATCAATTGATCATTTTTCACCATTTCTAACAAAATTATTAGAATAAAAAATTATATCCAAAACAAATTTACAAAATTTAACAAATAAATAACAAAATTTAACAAATAAATAATAATGTAATTATACAGCGTATTTAAAAAAACATTCATAGTAATTAATACATATAAATAATTTTTAAATTACTACTATGACTAAGTTACGATTAGTGGCTTTTATGTCACACTTGAAGATTTATTTCGATATTTACAAATTACTTTCTGAATGTCGTCACTTAATTTCCATACATATTTTAATAAGATTCCATTGGCAGTCGTTCAATTGTCATTATACTACTAATGATTGTAAATCTATTTGGTGATTACACAATTATGTAATATCATACTGAAAATGATACAATAATATATTACTCTAATTAAGAAATGGCAGATATGTATTTTATGATTGTGTTAATGGAAATGTTTCAGCAATATAATATAAAATTGTTTATATTGCTGAAGCAATAAAATTTTTGGTCTATGTTTATTAATGTAAGACTTTTTTTACTCACAAGGAATAGAAATATCTCCCTCTGATTTTGATCAACTTTGGACATGTTGTAGTTCAAATCAAAATAAGAGATAGTATAATACGATTTTTTACGTATATATATTTTAGTTTTAAATCAGAAATAGGTTTAGATTAGGTTCCACGCATGTACATTTTTACACCTTGATTCTTAAAACGTACATGATGTCTAAAACTTGCACATAATTCGTAAAACTTTTTTTGTTAATAATTGTTTAATAAGTGACGAGCGATGGCTAAAATCTTTTGAATGTAACTTAGGACAGCGACCTTAACAACATATGTCAACGTCAAAGTCATTAAGACTGGATTCCCTATTCAGCACATTTATTAAAAAAATATATTAATTCATAATTTTTTAATCACGTGATGTCTTTTGACATTGAAAATAAATGTCGAGCAATCCATGAATTTGTGCCTTAAAAGTTTTAATGTATTTTAATATAATAGTGCAATTTTTTTTAAATGTCATATTTTTCGAAATTTCTTCCCGCACCTCCAATTTTATTTTAATCTAGACTACAATATATCCAAAGATCAAAATCGAAGAAGAACATTTTCATATTTTGCCTTGTCAGTACTATATGTACTACCATATAAATATGCTGTATGTATTTTTTAACACCCTGTATAAAATTAAAAATGTAGAAATTGTTAGAAATTATCTTTTAATTCCTTTCCAATTTAAAAATTATTTAATATTCATAAAAAATACTCTTTTTTTCTCTCGATTTATTTATAAATTTAAAAAAAATGCTATTCGACTAGAAAAAATTATTTAAATAAATTTTTATTTGAACAAAAGATTTATTATAATTTATTATTGTATTATATTTTTTAGTTTATTATATTTGTGTCAGAAATATTTATTTTATTTATAATTATAATAATCATTAAATTTTTATTTTCCAATAAAAAATTATTTAATAATTAAAGATTTGGCTCAAGTAATCAAAAAATCAAAAAGAAAATGATATAAGAACCAACGCGCGGTAGTTAGAGCGCAGAGAAGCAACACCACTTCTTTCTTTTTTCAATATCAGTTTATTAAAAAACACATTATAATAACAAAAAATTATTTAAACATATAATGCTTTCCCCTTTCAACTTTACATGAATACATGGACATAAAAATTGCTTGTTCCGCGGAAAAAAATATCAATGGACACGTATTCCTAAAAAATCTTCAACATTCTTTTGCCATAAAGTCGCGATTGGTAGTGATAAAAACAAGAGGCAGTATTCACAGTCAATGATATAAAAACATGGGTGGGCCCACGTGAGTAAGAGACTCACGGCGTTAAAAATACATTTCAATACTCGCAGTCCAACGAAACGACACATTCGCTTCCGTCACTTTTGCAAGAACGATTCATATATCGCACCAATTCTCTTAGAAAATATATTTTCTCTTTTATTCTTTTTCCATCTTCTCTTTTGTAACTCTACGAAATATTTCCAGCATAAAGATTTTTTATCCTATTGAACATATACGTTTGTTTTCAATATTTAAAATAAAAGAAGAAGATTCTTTTTATGTTAAATATGATAATAACCATAAATTTTGATTAAATGAAAAATTAAATGAAAAATAATTTGATTCTATCATATCAAAAATCTTCCGGAATTAATTTCTTTAAATCTAGACAAAATATTTGATTTATATTAATACAGAGAATAGTGAGAAAAGTATTATCATTATTCCAAAAACCAGTTATATCTTTTAAGGAAAGATCGATTTTATAGAAGAGTTATGACAACTTAAAGTATAAAAAATTTTGTAAAATATTCAATCTTTTTGTTTATGCTATTCTATAACTTCCCAGCAATACGTATAATACGTCATTAAGACATTTTTACACGTCATCATGTTTGCTAGATTGTTACATGAAATATTGTGAATAATCGATTTATATAATAAATTAAAATAGTTCTATTAAAAAGAAACTAGATTGATCTTCATGGCTTTAGCACTTACATCCAAACTTAAATAAACTATATTCCCATCTTTTTTCTCTCTCCAAATTCTACAACTTTCAATTTAAAACATTTTTTTCTAAAATGGCATATTTTCAAGATATTTGCCTAAGATGATTAAAATGAAATACCCTGTATATTATATTACCTCTCTGTATGTGTGTGATTAAAACAGAAAAATATTTATTCCTATTCATATAATTTTGTCACTTGGTCATTCTCTCACTTATATCTAATAAATATCTCTCTTGATCTTTCAATTAAATCATGAATCGCAATTATGGATGTTTTTTAGCGGAAGACAGTATACGATATCGAAACACGCTAAAACTGGAAATCTTTATTGCAAAATTCAACGGTTCTCTGCATGTGTAATATATTTTTTATTTTACAAAGTAATCGGTGTGTTAGCGTCGTGCCCACTGAACAGAATCAATTAAATCAAAATAAAAATCAACTTTCATAGCTTAAGGTAAACTAGAATCTGATGCAACATTGATTTCTTGTGTCATCAGGACGCAGATCGCATAACAAAATTTCTCCCTGTATTAGATGTAATGATATAAATAGAAAAAAATTGTTTCGTTTTTTTCAAAATTTTATTTTTTTTCAAATATTTAATTTAATTTTTATGTTTTGACTGTTGAAAGTTGATTTTACATTTTTTTATTTTTGATATTTTACATGATAGATTTGAATTAATCATCATTTAAATGATTGCATTCCATTTGATTATATAGTTTAATAGTTATTATTTATAATTAGATAAATTCTTCAAAAATTAAACAAGACGGAACTTAAATTAAAATTATATTTATTATACAAAAACAGTTTGTAATTTTTAAAAATGTGTGTTTTAGTCACTATTGTGATATAATAAAAAAACTAAAGTTGTCAACATTTAATATAGATATATAATATATAAAAATATATAATATATAAAAATTTTTGTTAAATTTTTCTAATTAAACATTATTCGGATCACATTATCGTATTTAATATAACTTTCAAAACAAGATAAATTAAAAATATAAAAATTTTAAAAATTATTTTTATCATATTTACAAGAAAAATATGAAAAGAAAAATAATATATTAAAAAAGCAATGAAAAAAAATTAAATTTTTTAAAAAAATTTATAATTAGTTTATAATTAATTTTTGAAAAAAAAATTTTATTTTAACATTTGTTTTCTATTAGAAAAAAAAACAGTTTTTTTATATTTTCAATTAGAAATGTGAGAACATTTAACAGAAGAGAGATACGAACATCGAATCTGAAGCATATATTTATTATATTTTTCTTTAACATAACATTTTTTTCTCCTTATATTTTTTATTAATATAAAAAAAACTAATTCTGAAATTTTTATATTTTTAATTTAAACCTTTTTTTGAAAGTTATTTTAATGAATTATTGGGTGTTCAGTAGAATAATAATTGAGTTGTCAACATTGATTTGTTGATTCTAGAAGTAAGAGCCAAACATGTTTGATTGCTACGGATTTATCCTGCTGAATGCCTAATGAGACTGAGAGTATAGTCTGCACAAGACTTAATTCACTGCAGATAGCAAAAAATTAGGCAAAATATTTAAAAATAAAACAAAATAATATATATATAGCTTTTTTTATTTAAAAAATCCTATCCTTTATCATTTTATTTAAATATAAATTTCTTGATCAAAACTTTATTTGCTATAATTAAAAATTGACAAATATATAGTTCAATTTTTTATACTTTAAAATCTTATAATTTAATTTCCTATAAAATTTCTTATGGAAAGATGTTAAAGAACTACTATTAAAATTATAAAGTGACATAGTGTAATATTAATAAATGGAAATATTGTATAAGTAAGATAAAATCCACATAAAAAATAACTTTACTCACAATATTAAAAATTTTATATAAATATAACTCGAGATGGATATATATATATATATATATATATATATATATATATATATATATCTATCATATCTTTTAAAATATATTGTATTCATTTAATAATATAATTTACACTATATAATACAATACTATATAATAAGAGACCTTAGCATAAGATTTATCTAACTAGCTGAAACACTACAACTTTTTACAGGAGCCAAATTAATCAAATTATTCGAATTTTCAGCTAATTCTGTGATACTAATTCTACCACGTTGTCGTACAAACTTGGCAATAGATTGAAGTTCACCCTCCGAAATATAAATAAACTTCCCTCTATCGTCAATTACTCCAGTCAAATTACCATTTGCTTGCAATTCTTGAATTCTTTCTACAACACTAGCTGTTTTTAAACCAAAATGTGCAGCTAGATCTTCTAGGACCAGTACTTTATTCTGTTTTATATATACTAAGAATTCTTGCAATAAATTTTCTTCACACTCTTTGTTTTCCTGTTCGTAACCTTCCTCTTCAATATTAAAAGCTTCTTTCATCTTTAAATATTCTTCATATTCTTTCTTCTCTTTCTCCTCTCTAGCTTTTTTCTCTGCTTCCTCTACTCGCAATTCCTCTGCACGTTCCTTCTCAATCTGTTTGTCTCTTTCTTCTTGTAAAAGATGCTCTCGCTTTTTACGCTCTTCTCTCTCTCGTTCAACCGCCTCTCTCTGAAGCTTTTTTTCAGCTTTAGCTGCTAGCTTTGCTCGTTTTTTCGTCCCTATCTTATGATCTGGTAATTCTATTTTATCATCTGGACCATCATTATCTTCATCAACTTGTCTGTTTTCTTCTTCAAACGATTGATAATTAGTATGTCCTTGCATACGATGCCTGACATTTCTCACACCAGCTGCTCTTCTTATCGGCCGACCTTGTATTACAGCATCTTGAGCATTAACATGTGTTTCTTGGATACCTGAAGGATAAAACTGGTTTATTTGTTGGTAAGATATGGTTGACATATATATAATTAATTTTTCTTTAATAAATAAAAAATTAAATTCTCTTCAAGTTGGTGACTTAAGTTAATTTGATTCGATATAATTTTTTATGAACATAAATCATTTTGACTTGATATATAAATTGACAATCACTTGACAACAATATTGACAAAAAAAAATTGTTCCAAAATCGATATAAAAAAGTTATATGATTGAAGTATATATATCACAAGAATTTTTTTTTTTTAAAGAAAATTAAATGAAAATGTACCTTCAGATCTACGTTGTAGAAAAATAATACATATAATAATTAATATAACGATCGTCGATGCGATAAATATCAACAGATTTACATCCATTTCGATAGATTACAACTTCAATTACAATTCAATTACAATTCAATTACGATTGGAGATTGAAATGTGATCAATCGAAAAAAGGGAATCTAGATGCTTCTTATTTTGATTAAACAAATTCCAATTCAATTTTTTCGATGCGTAATCGTAATCTCTCCAAACCCTCCAAACGAACTTGACAGAGTGCCAGCTGACTGTCGGAAGTGTCGAATTGAAGTTTAAGAAGGTGGCGCCACCATCGACGTCCACTAATGTTCGCCTGCATTGCATTTACTTTCTGACCAAAGGATATACAGTTGTCGGCATCTTTGATGTTAGCTGTAAAAATAAACTAAATTATGATATAAATTAATAGTGACAATGAAATATATATTACATATATTACATATATATTATATATATTACATATGTCAATAAATAATATAAAATCGTTCAAAATTTATAATAAATAATTATTAACATTGGAGTTAATCTTAAATTAAATATTAAATTTATTAACGAAAAAAAAATAACTAAGATTATTGATATAATTAAAAATATTAACAATTCTTTTGTAGGGCTATTCTTTAACTTTTAACGCATTCGTTATGATATGCTTGTCTTTTTTTTTACTTATTAAGAAAGAAAAAGATAGCCATATTGTAACGCATGCGTTAAAAGTTACAGAATAGTCCTGCTGGGAGTGTCTCGTTTGATCATGTTGCGATTGACCACAATTATATTGACCTGTGCCTAGGGTAACCAGCAACGATTGACCAATCAGAAAGATTGGATTTCAACCAGTTGATCCTAGTTACTTCTGCTTACGGCCAACTTTAGCATCATTTCTATCGTCTTCTAGGATACATAAAGGTGCAATTTCATTGACGCTAGAAACCAGCGGCAAATTAAAATCACTAGACTTTCTCTAGATATGGCGTCAATAAAATAAAGTTCAAACAGTTTCAACTTTTTCAGTGTGTAAAGCGGCCTTTTCATTGACGCTACTTTTTAGCGTCAATGAAATTGCACCTTAACAATTGGCAGCCCTACGAGATAGGCTGTGCAGCACTGCGCGTATATAAAATAAATTTGAAATCGCTTCTAGCCTAACCATCTTCACGCGATCGACTTTATTTGAATTGCACGGCATCGCATCGAATTATGATGCGGTGCCGATTTATTCGAACGTAATTCGGGACATCGCGATGCTGTATAAGCGTCGAATGAGCACGAATTGTCACGCAAATATGATAAATCACATCTACTCACCGTTCACCGGCTGTTCCACAGGCCGCTCCACTCGCTCGCCTCGGGACGTCCCATTCCGATCTTGATGCACACAATATCATCAACGCGAACGCGCGACACTTTATTCGGCACTCCCGATATTTGCTCGCATCCGATAATCATCATCAAGGGCGCAAATAACGCGACGCGACTTCGCTCCATCTTCGCGATCACGCTATCACTGAACTGTGAAAAATAGCTGTCGCGCACTTTCACCGACATATTATGAAAGTCGCGCGATCATCCTTGGACACTTTCGACGCTCTTTCACTCGCGATATTCGTTTAAAAACGGTTAAAAGACGCGAAAATGCGGACGTACGACGATCCGTGTAACTGCGTATGACTCCGATTCACGTATGACGCGTATGACGTAGCAGTGACGCGTATGACGTAGCAGTCACGCGCTAACATGGCAGCCGAACCAGTGCGCAGAAACGAATGCGCACTGGTTCGGCCGCCATGTTAACGCGTGACTGCTACGTCATACGCGTCATACGTGAATCGGAGTCATACGCAGTTACACGGATCGTCGTACGTCCGCATTTTCGCGTCTTTTAACCGTTTTTAAACGAATATCGCGAGTGAAAGAGCATCGAAAGTGTCCAAGGATGATCGCGCGACTTTCATAATATGTCGGTGAAAGTGCGCGACAGCTATTTTTCACAGTTCAGTGATAGCGCGATCGCGAAGATGGAGCGAAGTCGCGTCGCGTTATTTGCGCCCTTGATGATGATTATCGGATGCGAGCGAATATCGGGAGTGCCGAATAAAGTGTCGCGCGTTCGCGTTGATGATATTGTGTGCATCAAGATCGGAATGGGACGTCCCGAGGCGAGCGAGTGGAGCGGCCTGTGGAACAGCCGGTGAACGGTGAGTAGATGTGATTTATCATATTTGCGTGACAATTCGTGTTCATTCGACGCTTATACAGCATCGCGATGTCCCGAATTACGTTCGAACAAATCGGCGCTGCATCATAATTCGATGCGATGCCGTGCAATTCAAATAAAGTCGATCGCGTGTAGATGGTTAGGCTAGAAGCGATTTCAAATTTATTTTATATACGCGCAGTGCTGCACAGCCTATCTCGTAGGGCTGCCAACTGTTAAGGTGCAATTTCATTGACGCTAAAAAGTAGCGTCAATGAAAAGGCCGCTTAAAGCTAAAGCAATATTCTGATTGGTTCTTCAGCTTACGTTTATCTTTTATGTTTATGGTTATGGCAATTCATGTACGAAAGCCTTTAAATTATCTATTGCAGATCGGGACTAATAGTTTAAAAAGAGAAAGAAAGAGAGAGCAAGCGAGACGGAAAGTCACTGCCGTGATTGGTTAGTTACCGCGCATGTGCAGTTCATTTTGACCCATGCTGAAATTGCCAGAGTTGCACTACTGTATATACTGTGCCAAAGGTGACGTGTATATTCCGTCTGGCATGGATACGACTGTTTATTCGTGATTCGATATTTTGTCGTTCTATTATCTGTATTGTACCTATTGTACGAAATATGTTAAAACACGGGAGTATCTTCGTTATTTTTTTGTGCGTCCTTAAATTTGGGACCGGTTTGTATTTCCACATTGGCGAGACAGAACGAAAATGTTTCATCGAGGAGATTCCCGATGATACTACAGTCATAGGTAAAGTTCAGTGCTAAAATATTTAGCTATATATTTCAATTTAGGGCCGCCAGAAAATTATACTTTGCTATAATATTTGTTATATTTCAAGATTAATTTTTCTGACATTTATATTTAAGAATAAAATTTGAATAGGTATAGTTTGATATTGGTTATGGTTTTTATTCACTTCAGTTTAAGATTAATTTATGAATTTTAGATTAATATTCATAGTTATTCAATTGAATAAAAATAAATGTAGAGATAATTATGTTAAAAAATTGTTAATATTTTTAGTTATATCAATAATCTTAGTTTTTTTTTCGTTAATAAATTTAATATTTTATTTAATATTTAATTTAAGATTAACTCCAATGTTAATAATTATTTATTATAAATTTTGAACAATTTTATTATTTATTGACATATGTAATATATATTTTATTGTCACTATTAATTTATATCATAATTTACTTAAATCCATCATTTGATTTAAATGTATTAAGCCCATTTGCACCAACGTTATTTTAGCTTTAAGCGAGACTTAAATATATGTCTATCTTTATTTTTCTTTCTAAATAAATAAATAAAGACAGATATATTTAAGTTTTGCTTAAAGCTAAAATAATGTTGGTGCAACCAGGCCTTAGTAATAAAGTAAAGTGCCATAGATTCCTTTGACGAGACTCCCATTTCATCTTGTTATCACATAGATATAAATATATGTGAATTGTATTGTATAAAATGTAGTTTCTTTTAATTTCTTAATCATTTTTATCTAAATATCGAAAGATGTTAAAAATTTTATTTTGTTTTATTTTATTTTTTGTAGTCAATTATAAAGTGGAACTTTATGATCCAAAAAGTGGAGGTTTCATGACAAGTGGTATTGGTATGCACGTTGAAGTCAAAGATCCTGACGACAAGCCTATTCTCTCGAGAGTTTACAGTTCTGAAGGTCGAATTTCCTTTACTTCACACACACCGGGAGAACATGTTATCTGTTTATATTCAAATAGTACCGCATGGTTCAGTGGTACTCAATTGGTAAAGCATATACATACTGTATAATTGATTATTATATTGAATTGACATAAAAGAATATGGAAAAATAAGATAAATAAGATAAAAAATAAATCACAAATTAGATGATGTAATTAAACTATTTTTACAGAGAGTACATTTGGATATTCAAGTAGGAGAACACGCAATTGATTATGCCAATGTTGCACAAAAGGAGAAATTATCAGAACTTCAGTTAAGAATACGCCAATTATTAGATCAAGTCGGACAAATAACCAAAGAACAAAATTACCAGAGGGTATGAGACAAATTGCCAACTTACTATATAAAGCAAAGTCTTATGTAATATAAAAGAAAGTAATTAGAATTATCATAAATACATTTATATGCGTTTATATATATTTTCTAGTACCGGGAGGAGCGCTTTAGGCAAACATCAGAAAGCACTCATCGTCGTGTATTTTGGTGGTCTTTGACTCAAACTGTTGTTGTTCTAATTATGGGTGCATGGCAAATGAAGCATTTGAAGAGCTTTTTTGAAGCAAAGAAATTAGTTTAATTGTTGCAGTAAAATATTAATCTTAGACAACAATATCTGTTTAATTATTTGTAGCTTCAGACAATTTTCATCAACATTTTTTCAATGCATCAGTTGCTGACATTACATTTATATGAAATTGTTAATTATCCTATAACTAATAATTGTGTAATATGTAATGTAACAATTATTCGTAAGAAAAATGATTGTAGTATATATAGGAACATTTTAAATAATATATAATTCTATATAACTATAATACTTAAATAACATTTATCATTGCATTGTTTTTTTTTCTAATAATTATTTACATCAAGGGATACTTTGATCATCGCTTACGTTGTAACGATGAGATTGCCGATTAATTTCATTTTACTTTATTTGACGGTTTCGTGTAGTTTTTGATACATTTAACGAAAAGGGTTTACTAAATAATTTTCTGATATTTAATAGAGAATATTATATAAATATCTATTTAATAAACATATTTCGAGTGTCCATATCAGGATTGGTAAAAAATTTGTTTTTTTTATTTTAAACAAAAAAAATTGTTTTTTTGTTTAGAATAATATTTTTGTTTTGTGTTTCTAAGTAAAACAAAAAAAAACATGTTTTAAACAAGCAAAAAATACTTAATAGCTTTGATCTGTGTAAATATTTAAATTTTTCGCTAGCGTTAAACTGTAAATAACGTTGCCAAAATTGACAACGCTATTGAAAATATGAATAATAAAATAAAAATGATAAGATGAATATTATTTTAGCAGAATATTTATTTTTGGATATAAAATAACAATCAATACAATAAAGATTATTTAGAAGATATTGACTGACTTTACATTTTAGCATTTTAAATTAATAGTACATAACTCATAGCAGGTCAGTAGTTCTAGAAAAAAGTTCTAGTTAATAATATTTAATATATAATACTTTGATTCCTTTTCTATTTTTATTAAGTAATCTCATGCTTAACTCTCAACATAAATTGTAAATAAAAGAAAAAACCTCAATTCTTTTTTTTAAAAGAACTTTTTTTAGAACTACTGACCTGCTATGAGTTATGTACTATTATATAATTTAAAATGCTAAAATGTTAAGTCAGTCAATATCTTCTAAGTAATCTTTATTGTATTAATTGTTATTTAATATCCAAAAATAAATATTCTGCTAAAATAATACCCATCTTATCTTTTATTTCATTATTTATATTTTTATATGTTACATAAATATAGATAAAAAACTAAAAACACTAAAAAACAAAAACTTTTTTGCAACATACACATCTATAAGTTTTTGTTTGTTTTTTTTTTTTTTTTTTTACAATTTTGTTTCCAAATAATCATATATTTTATTTGCGATATTTTAAACGATTCTAAACAGTAGTTTAAAACAGTTTAAAACAAAAATGTTTAAAACAGTGTCCGCTGTTTTAAACAAGTTTTAATTAAACAGTTTTAAACACATTGTTTAAAACATGCCAACCCTGATCCATATTAAAACATGCCAACCCTGATCCATATTATTCAATAAGATCATTTAGTTTATAGTCATTTGTAATATGTCACTCATGTATTTGTGACACTTTTTTATATTTTATAAATTAATATATTCGTGACTCGCAAATAATTCCTCATCAATTGACCCATGATTCAATCGCTCCAGGGTAGTTTACTAGACGTTATTGACCAATCACAGTCATTCTTCTGAAAAATATATGGTTACATTCTTCAAAAGAATGGTGATTGGTCAATAATGTCTAGTAAACTACCCCGAAGCAACAATCGAATGTGATTGGTGAATTCAAACATAGGAACCAATCACATTCAATTGCTACTTACCGCTCAGTCAGTGGTTGTGCTTCTGAATGCACCCATTGTTTTCAGTCTAAAATTTCAAATTGTTTGATGATAACCATAACCCTAATTTTGATGGTCAATCGCACATTCTGACGATTCTCCAAAGTAGAGTGTTGATCAAATAAAAACCTGAAGAAAAAAAAAAGAGTTATTTATTCGGATGTGTTTTCAATAAATTTTCGAAGATGCCCCAGTGCGAAGTTTGCGGTTGCACCGATTTTTATAAAGCATCCGGTTACTCTTTTTGCTCGACATGTCAAACGCAGAATCAGGTAAGCGAAAGAAATGTATTTAGAAAAAAAGAAATGTATTTAGAAAAAAAAGAAATGTATTTAGGAAAAAAAAGAAATATATTTAGAAAAAAAAGGAAATGTATTTAGAAAAAAAATTAATATAGAAAATTTCTAGGATGTTGGAGAGGAGCTAGAACTAGAATTGCCCATGGAAAATAATGTGAAGTTGCGAAAAACAAAAATTCGTCGTATAAGAAGTGACAAAGGTTTGCTTTTCTCATTCTAAATGAATAATTCACTAATATACTATAATATACAAAATTAAGCAAATTTTGATTATATATATCATCAATGAAAATCTGATATTTTTGTATGCAGATGAGGAAGTTGGATGGACATCATGGGAATTGTATAATTTTGTCTTAATTGGTTTGACAAATGAGCTTATTGAGCTCGGTGTATCAGCTGATATAAAAATAACAGTGTTACAACTATGGGCACGATATCTAGGGAAACTGGAAATAGCTTTTATATCTAAAAATAAGAAACTGCTACCTAAATTAGCCAGGAGATATAAGAGAAGGTTATTTTAAAATTTATTCTATTTATATAAGTTATTTTTTTTTTAGATTAACATAAAAGAATTTATTGGAATTTTTATGTTATTCTATGTATATTTTGTGTTTAAACACATTTAAGATTTCTAGAAAAAGATAATTTCAAGAGTTTGCAAATTTTATATTCATTCAGAATAATGCATTATATGATTTTTTTACAGAGATGCTGAAATTATATATGGCAAGATCTTGTCACAAAAAAAAAGTAAGAAACGAAGAAAAGTTGAAAGTAATGCAACAGATTCTGCAATTTCTATTCCTTTAAGTGAAGAGACTTCTTTAAGAGAATTAAATAGGAATAAAGTATGATTTGACAAATATATTTGATTTGTGAAATGTAAGAATAAGTTGTAAATATAATATATTTTTTACAGCAACTTATGATTACTGCAGATTATGATAAATTTATGGAGTCACAAATGAATTCAGAAGGAGATACATTGAGTACATTTAATCAAAGTGTACATAGCATGCAGTCTAGTACATACACGCAACACGCAAAACAACCTTTTGAAAGGTAAAAAGAAATCCAAATAGCCTATATACCTAACAATTGAAATATACAATATTGCACTCTGCTATTTTTTATGTTTCCGTTTATTACAGAATATGTTTTAATTCTTTTGCTAAGGAGGAAACAAGAAAGATAAAAGAAATGGCAAAGAAAATACCAAGATACAAACGCACAAAATACAAACAAAATCATATAACAACTCAGTACAAAACAGGACCGGAATTAATTACACCCATGAAATTGTGGGCAATCTTGTATTTGGCTTTAAGAATTCATAATCAAGATATACATTTAAGTGATATGCTAAGGTACAGTTTGTATTTTATTTGTACTCGAACACTTTCTAAAATAATATGTACAATGTTGCATTTACATTGTAGTAAAAGAAAATATTTTTTTATAATAATATGTATTATTTTATAGGTATTTTATAATGTGTTTTTATATTAAAATTAAACATTTTTCTATATTAATATTATGATCTTTAGATTTTAGCTTATATATATATATATATATATATATATATATATATATATATATATAATAGGATATATATAAGCTAAAATCTAAAGATCATAATATTAATATAGAAAAATATATATATATATATATATATATATATACGTGCTTGTTATTATTTTCTATATTTTTCATATTAACGCATTTTTTTGTAGATATGGGAGAGAAGGGCATTTATCTTATTACAAATTGGATCGGTTGATACCTCCTGAAGTGGCTTTAACAAGAAATGATATAAATTTCTTATCACGAGCTATGGATATAACGCATAAGGGAATGAGAAGAATAATTGGAAGAATGGCGAAATTTCTTGGCGTTACGAAAATAATTTGTCCCGATTTTTTACCGCTTATCAACCGATATTGCAGTGAATTGAATTTACCAAGTATGTATGAATCAAATTATCTTAATTTGATGTACATATAGAAAATACAAAAGAAAAAAAACTATTTTTAGGAGGGATATTATTATACACAGAAAGATTTGTAGCTTTATCTCCACCAAAAATGAAGTTTGATAAAAAGTCCTGTATTCCCAATTATGAAGGTCGTGCTATGGCATTTATTATTGTAGTATTGAAAACGTTATTGAGTTTGGATGGCATTACAGAATATGAAATCAGTAATGTTGCTGATAAAATTAATAGGTATGTATCAAATAGAATTTCACAATGATGACATTTGAGACACATAATTTAAATATATATTATTCTTCAATAAATTTATAATAATTTATATGAAATTGCTATGATAGCAGTTGATTTTAACCTTTAGAGAGTTGTGATATCTTAGTAAAATCTTGTAAATTTCACACTAGAAAGTTATATATATGCATTATACAAAGTTATTGTGCAGATTTGAACCATTATGATTTCCAGCCCTCTAAAGCTTAAGAAATAGTCTAAATGGAGAAAATATTTTCAGGTTTTTTATATTATATAATACAATATAATATTATAATTAAGATTATTGTAATATTTTTATTCTAATATTATTTAATGCATTAAAATATGCATAAAAATTGTCATTATATATACAAATAAATGATGCATATATATATATATAGAAGATATATTTATAGAATGGATAAGAGGGGATGAATGATTATAACAATTGAATATATGTACATGCATTCAATTTAGTTGATCATAATTATTTTGTGAAATATGTTTAATTTTTAAAAATCTCATGTAGACTTAAAAATCATTTTATGGACATGTCTATCTATGAAATATTCTGACAATTCTTTTAAATTTAAAATAATAATGCAGTATCAGTGTAAAGATTTTAATCCTCCATGTATACTAGTACATGGTGGTATTATAAATTTTGATGATGGGTTAATTATTGAAAAAATAACAAGTTGTAAAAAAGCAGCATTCACGGGTTATCAAAGTCTATTAAATGGTGCAAATTCTATAGAGGCTGTAGAGAGTACGTTGTGGTGGTTAGAATGTGACGAATTCTTCAATTGTGGTTACGGATCAGTTTTAAATAATATAGGTATAGAAATGTAAATGATTGTGTCTAATATAATCAAATTATGACATGTTATATTATACTAAATGCTTGTTAGGAAATATACAAATGGATGCATGCATAGTAGATGGTTCTAAGTTGGAATGTGGATCTGTGGCAGCAGTGTCAGATATAGAGCATCCGATATCACTGGCTAGATATGTTCTTGATAATTTTCCCAACTCTATTGTAGTAGGGGAAGGTGCAAAAAAATTAGCAGAAAATGCAAAATTAAATTTGTTATCTAAGGGAAATATGATCGCACCTGTAGCATATTTAGCTCATATTAATAAAAAAACAGGCAATTGCAATATTAATCGGGATATTGGAGATAATTATACGAATAGAGAAAGTAAAATGCGCATGCGATATCTGGAGAAAAAAATTGTTTTGATAAGAAACTAATCTGATAAAATTTTTTTCACACACACACACACACACAGATTATGGAAGCTCCGTTGGCTGCATAGCTTACGATGGATGTACTATTGCTGCAGGAATTACAAGCGGTGGTTCTAATGCAAAATTAATGGGCAGTGTAGGCGATTCTATGCTAGGTTGCAGTATATATGCTAACAGAAATGTAGGATGTTTATTAACAGGTCATGGAGAATCTATTGCAAAACTTGGTTTATCAAGAATCATTGCAAACGATATTGAAAAAGGATATTCTTCATGGAAAGCTTTGAAAAGAAATCTCGATTATATATTAAATAAATATAATTATATTGTCGGTGGTATCGTATTTGAAAAATCTGCTGAATTGAGCGTATACTTTACCTCTCATAGAATGCCCTATGCTGTAATTATGAACGATTGCATGACATTTGGTTCGACTTTAGATGACAAGAAGGTGGAAAGATATACCGAGATATACCAGAGACACTTTCCGTGCGATTGTAGATTGCCTTTTGTAAATAATTTGACATCGCAATATATCATACTCTTTTTCCTAAAATCTGCTATGTCATCTTCTATTTTGATCTAATGTTCTAATCATAATTTTTTTTATTTCAGTGCAATTAACAATGAAGGTATAAGTGATACAAAACTATTTAGTTTTCGAGAATGGCAGAAGTACATTGAATGTAGAAAAGCTGTTTTAGCTAATGCACACTATCCCACCAAGTTAAAATACAATTCGCACATACCAGACGTAAATAGCTTGTATGTCAAATTTTTGGAGGCCATTGATTCCAAAGTGGACAGAGAAGAAGAGCCTGAAATAATTGCAAACAAGCATCTAATATCGCGTAAACTTGTTCACGCAATGAAGCAGTGTATTACTAATATAAGTTACATGGATTTACCGATAAATGAGACGAACGAGTTCTTTCCTTCATTAACAGCACATCACTCGTATCTTCAACAATTATTGGAACACCCATTATATGATCTTCCAAATGTGCTTCGAAATGGCTTTTTTCCTACAAAAATTGGATATATGACAAAACCAGAATTGTAAGTATTACTATACTAAAAGTTATAGCCTCTTAGTTATAGCCTCTTAGTTATAAATAAATTAATATATAATATATTTATAATATATAATATATTTATTTTATTATATATTAATTTATATATTAATTTATTTTAGCCTCTACAAATTGGCCTCACATTACAATATGCAAATACGTTTCATTGATTCAAATTTGCATTTTGTTGAAAAGACTGTAAGACCTTTTGAGCAAACAAAAATGGCTAGTATAAAAGATTTGAAGGATAATATAGCAATACAGGATTCTTTGAAGGAAGAAATCGAGAGAAAAGAAGATTTCATGGAATATTTACATAGCAAAATGTTTTGTTGTCTTAAAATTGATATAAAGAAAAGACAGTATTATGACAATATTTGTAATCCAATTATAAAGGTCCTTCCATTAGCATCGTCAGATGAATTTATATTCAATGAGATTTTGCCAAATGGTAAATTGTCCATCCCAACGTCAGGCAACGCCAACGACGATGAAAATGATTATGATGATGAAAATGATACATGTTTAAAAGATATTGTTTCCAAAGAAACGGCATTATCGTTATCCAAATTTTGTAAAGAATACGATATGGATCTTTCAAGTACAGAAAAAAGAGCTATATTTAAAAATTTAAATCAAATAAAGAAACAAAAGCGCAAAATTTTTAGAAATGCACGCGGTAAATTCATAAAGCAAAATAATATCGAAAACCTAGAAAAAGATGAATCTTATACAGAAGACTCTGAAATTATTTCAAGAGAAAGTTTTGAAATTAAAAATATATTACCAAACATTTCCGATATTTTGAATTTAAGTACTAATGCATCTATTTTTGATGACTTCATGAAAAATGAAATTGAATATGATCAGTTGGAAAATAGTAAAGAACCAGTAATTAATGATACTGCTTTTATATTAGACGAAAATTTGGATGACCACACTCTCAAATTGCTCAGACCTTTTAAAGATTATTGGATGTATCATTGCAATTTTAGTCGTGTGAAGACCAAAAATTTTGAATTATTCGAGAAAATGTTGCCAAGGAGTTTTCGATGGTTACTAAATGAATGCGCGGGTATCATTGAAATGTCAACGGAAGATCTTTATGAAGAAGTATGTCTCATTGAAGCTTATTATGCTTATTTTTCGGAGCAATCCACTGCATCAAATTCAAGTACCGAAAATAGCAATAAAGCGTATATTAATGCAATTTTGAGGAAATGGTAAAGTAAAACGAAAAATACTATCGATTCAACTAATACAAGTCCAAATCTGTGATATTGTAATTATATTTTAATAAGTGAAGAATTGATAATATTTTTCGAAATACTTATAAGGTAATTAAAAATACAAATTTTGAGAATGAATTTTATATCAGAAAATTAACAAAAAAGATTATATATGAGAATCCTTAAAGACTTTGTTACAAAATATAGGTCTTCAAAGGCCCATTAGAGAACAATTCCTACTCTTATTATATTTAAATTCACTAAATTTTTACATGATGTCGCCTAAAACAATTAGTTTATTCATGCCCATTAATAATATAATCTGCAATAACGACAGTTGCGAATTTTAATATATAATATCTCTGATACCTTTTTTCATGTATGAGAAAGATAATTAATCCGTAGATATGAATAAAAACTTGTGTTAATTCAAGATCATTTTGAAAATTTTATTTAAAATATGTAGTTATTATTATGTTTGAGTTAATAATAAAAAAATTTGCCATTTTTAAATGATTGTTATCTTTTAATAAAGCCCCATCATATAATTTTTCTTTTATTGTTCCAAAGTAGAAATACTCTTAAAGTATGTAATCTTAAAGTATTATATCTAAGTATTATGTAGAAATACTTTTAAAGTTTATATAGATTCTTCACTTACACCCTTACATATATATGTACAATTTTATATTAATATAATTATATATATTAAAATTATATGATGATTGAAAACTGAAAAAATATTCTTGTCTCAAAAATAAAAAGAATGATAATTTAAAATAATTTTATGAATTTATAATCTTGTATATCTTTTTTATATATTCGATATGAACAATGATCGTCAATCATTTTTTTAATATATAAATTTTGTTTTAAAATAATGGAAGAATTTCATTACATGATGACTTTAAAAAAAGAGAGATATTTATTATATATATTTATTCTCTAAATAACGAGATTAATATGTTGATGGAAATAAATATTAATCTATACACGCACAAGCATATATATATATATATATATATATATATATATATATATATATGTATATATATACCGCTACAAGATAAGCTTCTGTACTTTTATATGTCACAGTGTATTGTGACGATCCTATCGACGTAACTATACGAACGCTTGAGATTGGCGAATTGCCGTGCTTAAAGCGCCTTTTATGCGAATTTTTAAATATTTATAACTAAAAAAGGAAGTCTCTATTGAAATTTTCTTACTCTTGATTTTCATATTATTTTATCATGAAGAATCACCCCTTAAATTTTGACCCCCCTTTTGCCGAACATCCTGTATATATAGGGTGATCCATTATTATTTAAGTAAGACTACTTAAATATATCTCTTCGAATTATGATGATGCAAAAAATATTTTTTTAAATGTGTTTATAATGCGAATGGTAACAAAGGACCAATATCCGGCAAGAATATATTTTTTTCAAAGTCATTTTTTTAAGAGTTTTCAAGATCATTGATGTTTTTTGCATATCTATATAATTTTTTTATTTTTTACATCGTGTAGCTGATGAAAAAATACGTTCAGACATGTATATTTTGAATCTTATATTAGTACCAATCTTTTATATCTATTTCATGATGAAAAATTGAGTATGAGTGTTAGTTAAGTTTATTAGTGTTGCCGCTTAACGGCAAGCGAAAAAACATGAATATTGTAGTAAAATAATGTCTTTGCAATATCTTTATTATATTACACTGCAATATGCAATGTTGTTGCTTCTGTGCTATATGGATGCATACATATACAGGGTATAACTCTAAAAGGCTCCCACTAAGCAAATATTGTTATTCCTGATTAAAAATCGAGTCGAAAAGTCCTAAATCGTTTTTTTCTATAAAGGTGCAATTTCATTGACGCTAAAAAGTAGCGTCAATCATTGGTTGAACAAAGAAGTAAGTAGTTGCTTCATTGTTTAACCAATGGTTGACGCTACTTTTTAGCGTCAATGAAATTGCACTTTAATGCTTAATAAAGCAATAATTATTAGTAATTATTGAATAAAGTCGCGCCAATCAGCATCGATCTTTCGCACGTCAGTGAACCCGGCTAAAAATTAGTTCGATTTTTAATCAATAACACTTTGCCTATTGAGAGCTTTTTAAGTTACATTTAAAAAAATGTAATTTGCATTATATATATAATTACATCTTTTTTCTTTAAAACAACTATGCATTTTTTGTATATTAATAATTGAATCTCATTATTTTGTGCATAATAATAGTATTGAGCTAAGATAATCGAGAAATAAATATTTTATGAAATATTTTATGGTTTTTGTAAAATTTTGTCAATTTAAAGTATAAAAAATATCTCGTAAACTATTTAATTTTTAGCTATCTTACTTTTATATCTTTTTACGTGAAATATTGTGAGAAATCGATTTATATAGATAAATTAGAGGGTATTAGTTTCATCACAGCACTGTAATATTATAGTAACATTTTTCTGCAAGATTGTAGAAACATAGCGAAATATGTTGCTTCAAAATTGCTGTAATATTGCTCCAACAATAAAATGTCCGCTTACGGAAATATAATTTTTTTATGTTATCTTTTCCGATAAAACGAAAAAATGTCTCTATTGACATCTTTTCACTTTGTCGAAAAAGATAACATAAAAAAGATAATAATATGTGGCACGCGTTTCTCTGCTTGCTGCACTCCTAACTCGTATTCGATATCTATCATGAAATATACATAAAGAATATTAACATAAAATCTAAAGTATATTTTTTTCCTTCAAATAATCTACTTAATATTCTGAATTCCAACAAGTATAATATATATATTTATTTATTTATTATATTGCATATTAGTATTATTATATATTAGTATTATTATATAGACAAAAATTACTGGTTAAAAATATATATAAAAAAATCATTAATCAACTTTTTATTAATATTTTTTTTAAAGTAAATTATTTAAAAAATGTTAAATTATATATATATATATATAATTTATATTTTTTATTGAAAATGATTTTAAAATATATTTATTTAAATAAATAATAATTTCCTCAATAATTTAATTTCATTTTTCTAAGTTTACATTAATATATAAATCTTAATTTGCAGATTAATTTTTTTTTAATATCACCTCAAATGTATAAATTTTATTTTGTGAAATAATATTTTTTATAATCAAATGCGAAAAATTAATTTAAAGTACACGGCATATGTAATTTTCATTATAATCTTTAATTTATTGTTATTGAATTTTTTTTGCACAGACAAGATCAGTATTCGTTATAAGTATCTATATGTATATGTATCTATTTTAATCTAACACAGACTATTGTCAAAGATTTGTCCTTTTTAGTTGAATCTTTTTGTATTTCTTTTTCTTTTTTCAAAAAATAAAATTAAATATATATCTATCTTATTCTACTCCAATATTTAGTTCACTTAAAAAGAACAAATCTAAAGAGAACATAAGTACCTCGGGCGAATGCAATCAACTTCTATTTAATTAACTATGCTAACTTGAAAAAGGGAAAGAAGATCTAATTTGACTAGCAACAGGTGAAAATGGGTATGAAAAAGATTAAGTGAAAAAAATAAAAGATTATCAGAAAAGTTTTCTTAAGAAGAGAAAATAAAAAAAAATAGAATTCTTATAAAGAACACGAGCATAGATACTTTCGAACATAGGCTTTCGGATAGTAACAAACTTATACAATTGTCAACGATTGTTTAACTGCGTTTCACTTCATCTTGTTCTTCTATATTTAATTGACTTACGTTGACTCAAAAAAAGATCCAATTTGGTTGGCTATCAACAGGTGAAAATTATTGAGTAAAAACAAAAAAAAGGACTATCTTCAAAGAATGCTCTTAAAAAGAGAAGAAAATTTAGAAAAATAATAAGATATATAAAAATATATATTTGAACATTTGTGAACACATCCGATCTTGTGCATGGGTGGCACAAACTCGCAATTGTTCAACTACATCTTGCTTCGTCATATAAATATGCAGGGTGTCCTATTTTAATCGATCACCCCGAATAACTTTTTTAATTTTGATTGTAGAAAAAAATGTTTCAGACAAAAGTTGTATGGCTTGAAGGGGGACATAAGATGGTGTCATTAGTTTGACATTGAAGAGTCACCAGAAGATTACGTGAAGATCACATCCAACTTTTTAAATGGGACACCTTATATGCTTTTGCATATTCTTATAGTTCATCTCGAGAGCTTTCTAAAACACTATAATTAAGTTAGTTTTCATTAAGTACTTTCTGAGTTATGAGGCTTGAAATCATTTCTTAATTTTACATAAACCATAAAGTATCTAGTAAAATATTCATTTTTCGATTATCTTATCTTAATACTTTTACGTACAAAATAATAAGAGGAATCAAATGGTGTAAAGAAAACATACAGTTGTTGAAGAAAAAATATGGAATTGTTAATTGTAAATTACATATTTTTTCTTCGGAACAATTATATGTTTTCTTTACACCAATTGATTCTCTTATTATTTTGTACACAAAAGTATTAAAATAAGATAAACAAAAAATGAATATTTTACTAGATATTTTACGATTTATGTAAAATTAAGAAATGATTTCAAGCCTCATAACTCGAAAAATTACTTAATGAAAACTAACTTAATTATAGTATTTCGGAAAGCTCTCGAGATGAACTAAAAGAATATGCAAAAGCATATAGGGTGTCCCATTTAAAAAGTTGGATGTGATCTTCACGTAACCTTCAGGTAACTCTTTAATGTCAAACCAATGACACCACCTTATGTCTTCCTTCAAGCCATGCAACTTTTGTCTGAAACATTTTTCTCCACAATCAAAATTAAAAAAGTTATTCGGAGTGATCGATTAAAAATAAGACACCCTGTATTATAAATTCGTAAGGGCGACGCTATCAGATGTGACGCAACTGGACTCGGCTGGGCTCGGCTTATCTCGGCTTGTCTCGGCGTCAGTGCTGTCAGTAGGTATTCGGCTTCGGCTCGTGTCAGTGGTGGTCAGTAGTAAACACCACTTCGTACGAGACGAATGATCGGTGTACGGTACTCGCGTCCTGCACCGCTAAAGGAGCACTG